TCTTCGCTGGACAAAGGACTGTAAGTGTAAAACCCCTGTGTTACTCGTTCTCTGTTTCTTTTCTGTGATTCAAACCTTTTGAACTTAAAGGGCCCTAGTCAGCCACACCTTTGTTTTTGTTTACATGTGCGAGTTTGGCTTTTACATTTTATTCGGAGCATGTCGAAACGAAAGAAATCACTGTGAAAGTACTAAGGATAATTAAACATACTTTCAGATACGACTTATAGTAAAGCAATAAGATTTCGCTTCACCATGCAACATCAATAGCTTCGATGGTATCGAAATGGCTGAGGCTGACTAGGGTCCTTTAAATGTTTGAACGATTTCCAATTTTCGCTAGGTAGGTAAGCTCATGTTTAAATTTTTCTTTCTTTCAGCCAAAAGTCCGGTCAGAAAGATAAAGTAAGTGTTATGATAGTTATTACGATAAATTCAAGTAATCTTTGCTGAATAAAGTATGGCAGCTGTAGCAGAGCGCTTGTCATTTGTATGAGAGAAAGGTTTCCCTTTTTATAAATTAAAAGATATAGAGAAGCGGCAGCTAGAAAGATGATTGCGATTAAACAGTTCCTACCGTGAGAAAGTCTTTGGAAAAAAAGGTATTTATATTTCCTGAATATCGTCATTCTTTCCTCTTCACCGAAGCCGCCAAAACACTGACCGCCATTTTTTTTGACTATTTTAAATCTGAAAATGAATCATTGCCTCACGCAGGGAATGATACCGATAGAAATAGTCACATGGAGTAGTGTTTTGGTCTAAGATCACTCTTATTCAATCACCTGCTTGTTACAAAGTGTTGTTAAAAGAAGCACGTTCTTTTCTTTTTAGGTCAGGTCCATTCTGAGGAAGGAAATGGATAAAGCTGGCGTCAAGGATCCTCAAGTTCTGGACAAGTCTTACTGGATCAAGAGAGTTGGTGAGGTATGCTAGTGAGAGTTTACTATCCTCTATCTCTCTTCCCACTTCTTCACTTTGACTTCTCACTTTTTTTCTGCTTACAATTTTTTTCCCAGCCTGGTTTGACTTCTCTGTTCCAACGGTTTGCATACCAATTCTTGCTCTGAAGTCTCATTTTCCACTAGTACTACTTGCCATGACTTCTCACATCGCACTTGTCACCTCCTACTATTGCTATCTGTAATGACCAGCCACGAGTGAATCCAAACATACCCTAATTTATTCAGTAAAGAGCGAATTCATCACGTGATCATGGAGAAATACCAATCACAACATTCCTCCCCTCTAGAATTACAGGTTATTCATCCATAAACTCATGTAAATTGGAACAACTAAATCAAAAACTATTTGTCCTCTATTTCAACCACAATCCCTGTGATAAAGTCACGATTTATACAGGTAGTCTTTCAGGTTTCCAGGTCTGGCCCTTTTCCGNCTCATGTAAATTGGAACAACTAAATCAAAAACTATTTGTCCTCTATTTCAACCACAATCCCTGTGATAAAGTCACGATTTATACAGGTAGTCTTTCAGGTTTCCAGGTCTGGCCCTTTTCCGCACAGGGCGTGTCCCCAGAGAACTTGTTTTAACGGGTGTCTGAGTAGGTGGTGCCGGTGGAGAATCAGGAACCTCAAGTTGGTCGCTAACACCAGGGGTGGGTGGTGTTGCATCACACTCAGGCAAGACCACTGGTGTCACGCTGGGTGTCACGCTTGTAACTGGCTCCTCCGCCACATCATTCTCATGGCTTCGAACATGGCCTTGGTGCCGCCGGATGACTGTTCCGTTGTTTAGCTGAACTCGAGCTGACACTGGACCAGTTTTCTCCACGACAGTCCCTGGGTCTAGGCCTTCTTGTTCCGGAAATCCTTAGCATAAACAGCCTGGCCCTCTAGAATCTCCCTCTCCTTAGCATGGTAATCATGTGTTGCCTTCTGCTGGGACTGTTTATTCCTAACGCGATTTGCTACGCTTGGAACAAGCTGATTCAGCTGTGTG